CAATATTAAGTAGTTGTATAAAAAGTGAAAACTTAAACGAAATCTGTACATGCAAATCACTTGTGTCTTAATGTTTAATAAACCCCTTACTATAAAATCTTTAGTAACACTCTCTCTGAAATTAATTAAACACCGGTAATATTTCACAATCGTCATAGGCCTATTAATACTAGAGTTGAATATACTAATTTTCTAGGCATACATATAGACGAATGGTTGGAATGGAACATTCACACCCAAAATCTGCAAAACTATTGCAAAAAATGTCAGTACCATACACAAGCTGAAAACATCTGTACCATGTAATATTTTAATATTGATTTATGATTCACTTAATATTCATTAAGTTCTTTTGTTTCAAAAACGACCAGTTATACTTAATATTACAAATACATATCGATTTATCACTCAACACCATAATTTTGACAAACAAAGAGCCCTTTAGAATATCTGATTTTGATGATTTTAACAAAGTTTTTCTTGTTTTCGGTCAAAACCGGAAATAATTTGCAATATTCCATTGCTCTGTTAAAACTGAATTTTAATGATTTACTTTTACCTTCTACATTGTTATCGATAATTATGTTTTTTTTTGTTTTTTTTGTTTTTTGGATGAATGTTTTGATCCGTGTACGGTGTACGACTGTCTTATTATCTGAACTTAATGTGTGTCATTAAGTTTCATTTCCGTGCCGATGAGAATATATTATACAAAATGTGTGCGCCTTTTAGCTGCCAATTGTGAAGACAGTTCTGTGCTTACCTGGACCTGTTTTGTCGAGTTTTTGAGGAATTTCTTCTAGCCTTCTGAGCTTGCCCTGATGTTTCGAATTAATACACTGTCTCTTGGGGCTCGAACCGTGCTTTGTTGCCTTCTGGTTGTGGTATTTCTATGCTGGCTGCCTAATTTACATATTAGAAAACAGGAGGCCTGTTGCTCAATGTATCGTTTTAGGCAGTATTTTCCAACTGAACTACTTAATCTGAGCCTAAAACACTTAAAGGCTAATAAACACCAATGGAAAATCTTTAAGGAATTAGGAATAAACAGAAGAAGGACACATAGAGGCTGCAGAGCAGGCAGATCTAAAGTAAGACAAATACAAATTCTTTCTAGTTGCCGCAATAGCAGACATTCGCTTGTGACCTTCAACGAATGTAGAGGCCTAATCGACGTAAAATTTCCAATCTCATTAAGGTACTACTAACTTAGCTCATCCTCAAACCAGTCCCTGTATCTGATTATACGTTTGGTGTGCTGAATTGCAGATCAGTTTGTAACAAGGCTTCATCTATCTCAGAACTGATTGTTGATGAATACTTTAGACTTAGCTGTCTTGACCGAAACGTGGCTCCGTACCAACGCTTCCAATGGTACAGTACTTAACGAACTATGCCCTGACGGGTACAGAGTTAATGTCAAATCTCGTACGGGAAGAAGAGGAGGTGGTATTGCTATTTTGCACAAGAACTCGATTTCACTTACTCAGCATGCTATAACTGAATCGACGACTTACGAGTCACTCCAGTGTAAAGTTACTGGAATTGGATGCTCCAACCAACTCACATTGATGTGGATTTATCGTCCTTGTTCTACGTCTATATCATCTTTCCTCGACGACTTTGAATCGACTCTTTCAGATCTAACAGCTTCTTCATCTCAAATTATTATTGCTGGTGACATCAATATCCACCTTTATAATGCATCTGACAGATACACTTGTCAATTTAAAAACATGTTAGAAGCACTTAATTTTACTCAACACGTTTGTGAACCAACCCACAAAAGCAAAAATATATTATACATCATTGCAACAAAGGCACCTAATTTTAATTTCACCAATACATCTGTCTTTGATACTACTCTTTCTGATCATTTTCTCATTACGTGTAGATTGACGGCCTCCTCTGGCTGTAAACAATTGCGTCCTCAGCAGCAGATATGTTATCGCCGTATAAAAACAGTTAATGTTCATCAATTTAAGAGTAGAATCTCTGAAAAATTTTAACTCCTGCCCATAGTTAACCAGTGTCCCGATTCTACCATAAGGTGTTTGAATAAATGTCTTAACTCAGTTCTTGATTAGTTTGCTCCCAAAATTAAAGCCAAAGCTACCGTTCGTCGAAACGAACCGTGGATGAATAATGATATTAGAGCTGCAAGTAGAACTCGCCGGAAGGCAGAGAAAGCCTGGTCTACTAAGCTCAAAATTCACCGCCATATTTTCAAAGTCAGCAATAATACAGTTAGGAATCTTATATTTAAGACTAAAACTGAATTTTACTCCAAGAAGATTAACTCTGCTGAATCTTCTCAAAAGGAGTTATTTAACATTTTGAATAGATTAACTAGGAAAAACGAACCTAAAAGTCTGCCTGATGATAGAGCACCTAATAAAATTCCTAATATATTTGCTGATCATTTTCTAACAAAGATTGAGTATATTCATAAAGAGCTATCTAACACACCTGTTTCCAACCCTTATATTTCTCTTCAAAAAGTCTCATTCAGACCAAGTTTGCGCCTGTTACTGCTGACGAGTTGTTTGATATCGTTAAGCGTGGGCCATTTAAAACGTCTGACCTCGACCCTCTTCCCAATCCTCTTTATAAATAATGCTCTCCACTACTAGTTCATCATTTTGTTTCGGTTATCAACACCGTCTTGTCAACTAGCAAATTTCCTACCATGTTTAAGGCTGCTATTGTCAAACCCATTGTCAAGAAGCAGCATCTTGACCATAATATCCTTTCTAATTATCGACCGGTTTCAATGCTTCCGTTCCTATCTAAATTAGTCGAAAGTGTCATATCTGCTCGTCTTCTATCTTACTTCACTGATAACAATCGTTTTAATCCTCACCAATCTGCTTATCGTTAGAATCATGGAGTCGAAACTGCCCTCTTGTCTGTGACTAATGATGCATATTTGGCACTGGATGAAGGCAAATATGTGATTCTTTTACTTGACCTTTCAGCTGCCTTCGATACCGTTGATCACAATACTTTACTTTCTGTCCTTGAACAATCATTTTAGTGTTCGTAACTCATCAAATCATTCCTTTGCAATTGTAACTTTCTGGTTAATACCATTACCATTTGTCTGCTAGCAAACCGATTCGTTCTGGTGTCCCGCAGGGCAGTGTACTTGGGCCACTTATTTTTACCTCTTACATGTCTGGCCTTTCTACACTGCTCAATTCTTTTCATGTCAATCATCAACTTTTTGCAGACGACATTCAGCTTTGGGTCGCGGTTGACATTGACAATAGTTCTCTCTTTGCTTCTAAAATTCACTCAACCGAAACTTGCCTTTTATATCTGGTAAATTAGGTGACACTGAGAAAACTCAAAATTAATCCTTTCAAAACGGAGCTTCTCGCACTAAACCTCTTCCTCATATCTCCATTCAGTTTGGCAACCATACTGTTCATCCTTCTTCTTCCATCCTTAATCTGGGAGTCATCTTTGACTCTCATCTTGACTTTAAGTCCATATTTCCACTGTCTGCAAAACTGGCTACTATCATCTCCGTAGAATCCATTCTATCCGTCCTTTTCTTTCTCAGACTGCTGTCATCTCTCTTGTTCATGCTTTCATATCTTCCAGACTGGACTTTTGCAATTCCCTACTCCATGCCCTACCTGCCTCTCACATCCGACTCATTAAAAAACTACTCAATTCTACTGCTCGTATGGTTACTGGTACCAAAGTCCGTTCACACATCTTCACTCCTATCCTTATAAATCTTCATTGGTTACCCATTCTATACAGATCTTCCTATAAAACTATTCTTCTCGTCCACAAATGCATTCACGGTTTTGCCCCTGACTACCTTGTCTCTAATGTCACCCTTACTCACTCCACCCGCACTACCCGTCAATCTGCTGCTCCATATCTTGTTCTTCCCCGTTTCAAACATGTCAGAACCGGCCAATGATCATTTTCCTTTTTTGCTCCTAAGCTTTGGAACTCGCTCCCGCCTGGCTCTAGATCAATTTCTGAATTTCACCTTTTTACATCCTACCTCAAATTGTTTCTTTTTTTATTGCGTTTTCTTCGTAGGATGGATATATATATTTTTTTTTTTTTTTTATAAATAACATTATTAAACATATACATGATGCAGGAGGAAATAGGTATAAAAAATGACTGTCACTTTAACTACATTTGAAGTTGTAATATGGCTCAATTTTTTTTTACTTCCTGGTAATTCTGATACCTATTTCTGTTTTCCTAGGGATGGATTAATGGGCTTGTCAGCAGTGATTTGAACTGCTTTTGTTAATCCTTGACTCTTTAGATTTACACAGTTTTTTTTTTTTATGTCATGTCAGTTTTGGTAATTTTTTTGTTTTATTTACAGTATGTACTAATTGTACTGTGATTTTTATGAAAGGCTAAACAATGAATGAACGAATGGATTGGCGGTAATCTAACAGCAGTGGAGATCACCCAAGCCGTCACTCAACATCATCACAATCACCAACGCCATCACAATAATCATCACCTTTAATATCACCACCAGCGCGCACCATCTTCATCTCTTCCATCACAAACACCAAACACCATCATAACCCACACCAAACCATCACCATAACCCATCACCACCATTGTTGTTTGTTAACAAGAACAATATGATCAAACCAAAACAGTAAAACCAACATCATCATCATCATCAACATCATCATCATCATCGTCGTCCTCGTCGTCGTTGTCATCGTCATCGTCATCGTCATTATCATCATCATCATCCTCATCATCATTATTATTATTATAATTATCGTCCATTATTCAATGACTGGCAGTTAACTTCGCTGTATCCTGTTTTGATCTATTTACTGTACATGACTTTTCCTGCTATATATAACGACAGTTAATGTAACTGACATTATAAATAATATAACTTAGATATGCTTCAGTTGTATGCTCGTCCACCCGTAGTTAAAATATGCTATATAATCATACAAATCTAATATAATCCATTAGTTCTTCTTAGCCCAAGACTGTAAACTTCTGTGTCTTGTTCAGCATACAACTGTAAGTAAACTTTATATATTTTCGTCTCTTGTTTACAAATGAGGTTCCATAACCCGATTTAAATAAAGCATGTTGAAGTTAAGAAATATAATAATTGTTTAAACAATTAAATGTGCAATAATCTTCTTATAAAATTGAAGCATTACTTTTTCGAGAATTATTTTTTTGTTTTTCTTAACAAATTTTCCCTTTTTGAAAGTTCATTAAAGTTCTGCTTCTTGTTTTTATTGTGTGTTTTTTATTCCATTCCCATTAGAATAGTTTGTGTTATCCAATCTGTTATATGATTGCAATTAAATATATTATGAATTATGATATTATAAAATTATTTGTAACATTAACTTGGGAGATACTTAAAAAAAAATTTTGATACAAACATTACTTATCATTCCATAATTGCTTAGCTGATTTAGCTGTTTAATATAATTAGGCTAAAAGGATATATCATTGTGAAATGATGTAGCACGTTTTTCTATAATAAACATAGCTACCAACCGTCTCTCATCGTGCGGGACGGTCCCTCATTCCAAAGTGATCTTGGATGAAGCACGCATTTTGCACAAACACATGCTTGATCATAAATATGTCACGCATTTAGCACAAATCTATGCGTAATAACGAATTATCACGAATTCAGGGGAAATTGTTTTTTTTTTTTTAATAAAAATGGTCATGAAGTGACTGACACTGCAGTGTCAGCATCAAACACGTACGCAGTCAGGTAAGTACAGTTAATTCACTGACGCGTTACTAAAATTGATCAGTATCCCTATTCATTTTTTGCTTGTTTGAGTAATGAAATGTTTGTGTACATTGTTCGGATGCTCAAATTAAACATACATTGAAACTCAAATTGTACGTTGCTTTAATAAAAATATTTTTGTTGATGTACCCGGTATTGTCAACAAACACATTTTGAAATCGTCTTAAGCTTTAAAATGCTCAGATCGTCTTAAAAAATACTCTAGATCACAGGCCTGTTAGTCCAGTCTTTGATTTTTTTTTAAACATAGATATATACAGACAATAATTAAAACAACAATATAAATATAATCTCACATTAAAAAGCAAAGCATAACAACTAAAGTAATATATTTAAATGATAATAATAATGATGATATGAAAAAATACAATTACGAAATTAGATATATCCAAACTTTCATTTTAAAAAGCAAGGAAGATTGAGAAAGGTATACTAATTCAGTGTTAAACAAATATAGAACAAATTGAAAATTAGAGAATGAAAAATATAAGTGGAGTGGAGTTGAATAGCTCAGTGGTTAAGATGCTTGCCTTCTGATCCCAGGATACTGGGTTCAATTCCTGTCACAGCAGGACTTTTCCTACGACCAACGCCAACTCCACTCTCTAAGCCTCACAAAGAGCCTTTGCTTATAAAGCATTATTCTCATCCTGTAAGTGGCAAGTGTACTTGCTGTTGGATGTGAGGGAAATAAGTAAAATAAATAAAATAAATTAGTGAAAAAAACCTATGTAACTAAACAATAACACATTAGGTTAAAAATGCGGGTATAGCTTATGTCAAATGTATAATTAAAACTATGGGCCTATGCTATAAATTTTTCTATTTATTTAATTAAGCTTGAAAATGGGTAATAAAGAAAAACAGAATAGATTGGCACAATATCCAGAGAATTAACAATTAGATATAACCAGGAAACAGTTAAAAACTGTAACTGTTCCCTGATATAACAATCAATATATATATATATATATATATA